ATAATTTAAAAACTTTTCTTCTTTTAATATATGCTTGCATTCATTCAGTGGCTTTATAATTCAAAAGTTAACCTGTGTGCTATAAATGTATACATTCATATTGCTGGTAATGGAAAAGAATACATATGTGCTGTACTCAACTCATTTTTATCAAGACTTCTTCATGTCTCACTAATGTGAACAATGTAATCACTCAAATAATCTTTGCTTATTAAAGTAAAGATACTACTCTGTACTTACATTAGGTATCCAAGAAGTCAAGAGTACTGTTTGAATAATGGTTAACTCCTACAAAGCCGGACATTTCACTTCTTACAACTGACGTGATCCTTAAAGTTGGTAAACACTGAGCACTAGTTAAGACAGTATACTGAGAAGTACCCAAGAAGTATTAAATAAGATTAAAACAATGGCAGCTTTCCTTGTTTCTTCATGATTCAGCAGTCAGGAGTGCTAATCATTTCTGCAAAAATTATTCTGGATGTTGGAGGCTGAGGTTCATTCCACATTTACCAACCATATTTTGGCAATTTTTTTCACAAACAGGTTATTTGCAAATCAAGGATGTGAATATTTGGTACAAAAGGAGTACTTAACATGGCTATAGAACCTTTATTTGACTTCTACCTTTTAGGGGCCTCTTGCGTTTATTTCTTTAAGAAAATGAACACTTATCTGGAACAAGGGTTCACTACTGTTCCAGCAAGGTTCAAAATATTACAAAAGAAAAGGAGTGGATGTGGCTGAGGATGTGGCTCCGTGGTAGAATGCTTGTCTAGCTGGCAGGAAGGTCCTGGGTTCAATTCTCAACACATGGAAAAAGAAAAAGAAAGAGGGCCAGGGATTTAGCTCAGTGGTGCCACACCTGTCTCGCAAGTGCAAGGTCCTGAGTTTGATCCCTGGTATCAGAAAAGAGAAAAACAAAGCAGAGGCAACAACATTTCCAAGCTCATTCGCTGGAAACTCTTTAACAGCGTCCTAATCTCAGTAAGTCCCAGGCCCTTCTAGCTTCCCTTCTCCGGCTCCTCATACCTCGCTCCTTGCTGCTCCAAACCAAAAACTAGCAAAAACACAACATTCTCTTGCTCAGGCCTGGTCTAAGTACTCCTCTCTGCTAGAAATACTCAGTATTCTTCCTAAATTATAAACATGACTCACCGCTTAAATGTCGTCTTCACCAAATGGCCTTGTCTTGCCAACTGATTTAAAGAATACCACTCCTCCTTGTCTGCTCTTATATTCATTTTCCTACTTTGCGACCTATCTTTTTCCAACAGAATGTAAAGTGTAAAAGGAGAGGAGGCCTTGCTCGATTCGCTCTCTCCGGAGCCCGGAACAGTAACAGGCTCTCACGAGAAGGTGCAGGACAGGACGCTGCACCAAGACGCGCTATTTGTGTGCCTCCCACTAAAACCTGTCACAGATATCAAGAAGAGCTAAGAAAATGATTTGGAGCCCGCCCGCTCTACTGCTAAGAATGAAACAACTACCATTAAGGACAATATTTTATTTTCAAAAAGCACAAACACTAATGGAAGGCTGGGTTCCTTACGAAAGAAACAAGGTTAAGTGGACACATGTTGCACTTGTGCTGGTACAGAACACTCGTTTATCACACAAGCTCCCTAAGGCATTTCCCCAGGAAACAGGAAATCCCGCTGAAGAGTCTTACGGAAAAACACAAGTCGGCTGACTGGAAAACATACAACACGCGAGTCCAAACTTGGCAGGGCAGAGCCAACCACGCTCCGTCAGAACGCGGGCCCCCCACCCCCGAGAACTTCGGAGCCTGGCAGCCCGCCTTCGGGGCGCAGGCTGGGTGCCAGGACGCGCTCCGGGG